AATAATCATAACAATAATAATAGAAGCAATAATCATTATCATAATAATAACAACAGTAATAGTAATAGGTTTAATAACAATAACAAATTTAATAATAATAGTAACCCCAACCAATGATCGAAAATACAATGTTATAATTGTAAAGAATATAGTCACTTTTCAAAAAACTGTTCTCAGAGAAAAACCCAATTAAGAAGTCTCGAGGAAATCCTTAGCAACAATAGTATTGAATTAAACCAAACTGAAGAAAACCAAGAACAACTACTTCGATTTAATGGAAGTGTCAATGGAAAAAATACTTGAATTTTACTTGATAGTGGTACATCAAGAAATTTTGTTAATAAAAATTTTGTACAAAAGAATAATCTTTTTACCCTAACCAATGATACATTAACTATTGAATTGGCTAATAGGAGACAACAAGAAACAAACCAAGAAGCACGTCTTAATAACTTTAAGATGGGAGATTACCATGCTAAATGTATTAAAGCTCAAGTAATTGAACTTAATCGTTATGATGATATTTTAGGAAAACAATTGCTTTTCAATGCAAATCTTAAAATTAACTGACGAGATAATATTTTAACTTTTTCTTTTGGAAAACAACTAATCACCATACAAGCTGATACCAAAAAGATGAAAGAACCTGAATGCAATTCTGTTTTTATCTCTTAACAACAATTAGCAAATGTTCCTGATATCAAGGAATTATTTACAATACACCTATCTACTCAAGAAGTTGAAACCACACCTCTTACTCCAGAAGTATAAAATATTGTATCTCAATTCAAAGATATTTTTTCAGAAACTGTATCTCAAAAACTACCACCTAAGAGAGCTCTTGATCATCATATTAATATCGCACCTGGAATTGAACCACCATTTCGATCAATTTATTGCATATCATATGAAGAATTAAATGAACTCAAGAAATAATTGGCAGAGTTAATGGCCAAAGGTTTTATTCGGCCAAGTGTTTCACCTTTTGATGCTCCGGTACTTTTTGTTCATAAAAAGGAAGGAACCCTAAAGTTATGTGTTAACTATAAAGCTTTGAATAAAATCACTATTAAAAATTGATATCCTTTATCCCGGATTGAAGAATTAATGGATAGATTAATAGGAGCAAAGTATTTTTCTAAAATTGACTTATATTCTAGTTATCATCAAATAAGAATTCATGAAGCTGATATACCTAAAACCACTTTTCGAACAAAATATGAACATTATGAATTTTTAGTAATGCCGTTTGGATTAACCAATGCCCCAGTAACTTTTATGACCTTGATGAATAATATATTTCGAGATGTTTTAGATCAATTTGTTATAATTTACCTTGATGATATTTTGGTATATAGTAAAACAAAGAAGGATCATATTCAACACCTTCAAACTGTTCTTCAAACTTTACGAAAACACCAATTATTCGCTAAGTTAAACAAATGTGAATTATTTAAATAACAAGTCAAATACTTAGGTCATTATATTTCAGATAAAGGAATTTCTGTTGACGAACGAAAAATTGATGCTATTAAAAATGGATTGCACCTAAAAATGTTTCAGAAGTTAGATCATTTTTAGGACTTGCTAGTTATTATCGCAAGTTTGTAAAAGACTTTTCAACTATTGCCACACCTTTAACTCAACTTCTTCATAAAGAACAACCATTTCTTTGGGAAGATAATCAACAAAATGCATTGAGAAATTAAAACAACAATTAACCTCAACACCTATTTTATTACTTCTTGATCCTACCAAACCATTTACAATTACCACAGATACATCTGACTTTGCAATTGGCACTGTATTAACCCAAGATCAAGGCAAAGGAGAACAACCTATTGCTTATGACTCAAGAAAACTATCTGTAGCTAAATTAAAATACCCTGTACATGAAAAAGAACTATTAGTAATAGTTCATGCTATTAAAATTTGACGTCCCTATCTTGAAGGTCAAAAGTTTTATGCAAGCAACTGACCATGCTGCTTTAGAATATATTAAAACTCAACATAATCTTTCTAGAAGACAAGCCAGATGGCTTGAGGTGTTACAATCAAATGACTTTGAAGTACGATATCAACCAGGAAAAACCAATGTTGTAGTCGATGCTTTATCACGAAAACCGCAACTTGTAACAATATCTATCATTTCTACAAACCTTATTAATTCAAATGACTTATATCAACTATACCTAACAGATAAACATTGGGCCTTAATTCTAAAAACTCTTGAAAGCTTTAATGAAGCTAATTCACATGAAAAAGCTCAAGTTAAAAATTACTATTTACAAAATCAACATATTTACCTTAAAGAGAATAATAGATTAGTTATTTCTAGAAATAAGGAACTCATTACAAAAATTTTACAAGAAAACTATGACAACCCTATTTCAAGTTACTTGGAATGTGATAAAACATATAAAAAAATTTCAAGAAATTATTATTGGTTACGAATGTCAAAAGATGTAAAAAAGTATGTTAATACTTATGATTTATGCCAGCGAAACAAAAGCTCAAATCAATAACTAAGTAGATTACTACAAACATTACCTACACCTGTTAAATAATGGGAACAGATAACAATGGATTTCATAGTTCAATTACCTAAAACCCCACGAGGCTATGATGCTATAACTGTTTTTGTCGATCGCCTATTTAAACGAAGTCATTTTATACCTTGTACAACAAATATCACTACTCCAGAAGTTGCTAAACTGTTTTTTGACAATATCTTCAAACTATATGGCTTACCTCGAACAATAATCTCTGATCGTAATTCCAGATTTACAAGTAAATTTTAGCAATCTTTGTTTAAATTTTTAAATACAAAATTATCTATATCCACCACATTTCACCCACAAACCGACGGACAAACAGAATGAATGAACCGAACCCTTGAAGAAATGTTAAGAGTATATGCAACTTATTATCAAAATAATTGGGACGAATGTTTAACCACCGCAGAATTCGCTTATAACAATTCCCAACAAGTTTCAACAAAAAAGACACCTTTTGAACTTGACAATGGTCAACATCCAATAACTCCACTTGACTTAGATCCGCAAATAAACACTAATGTACTAGCTGCAGAAAATACTTATCTTATCTGGAGGAATAATATACAAGTCGCAAAAGATACTTTGATAAAAGTCCAAGAAAACCAAACGAAAAATGCAAACAAAAACTGATGACACAATGAATTTGAAATTGGCGAAAAAGTCATGCTATCAACTACTAATATTACTGATGATATTAATAAAACCCAGCCAAAACAAAAATTAACCCCGAAGTTTATTGGACCTTATAAAATAATTGATAAAATTTCTACCACGGCATATAAATTCAAATTACCAAATAACCTCCAAATTCACCCTGTTTTTCATATCTCTTTACTTAAACCCTACTAGGAAACTGATAAATTTAATCAAGAAATACCTCCACCTCTTGAAATTATAATTGATAATAATAATCCTGTTGAAGAATATGAAGTCGAACAAATATTAGATATAAAATATATACAAAAGAAACCCTATTATCTTATAAAATAGAAAGGATATCAACTACACGACGCAACTAAAAATTAAAAAAAAAAAAAACTCTTTTCCGAATTATTTTGTAATACAAAATATGTAGTAATATTATATTAAATTTGTTTTATTTTTATTTCGTTTTAATTAAAAGTCCAGAAACCTAGCACAATGAGCGATAGCTCAACCAGTGGCTCCCCAAGTAGGTCAACAAGAATCCAGTTGGCTTCAAAATCAAATATGCAAACACAATTAAAAAATCAAAGAAACAATCCCATTAAAAAAGTGGACAAATCAGCGGCATCTTTTATTTCAAAAGAACCAACAAACATAAAAAGTAACATTAAAAACAACAGTGATATCAAAGATATGGAAGTTACGGTCACGATAGAGCAACCTGAAGTAATAATTAATAATGACAACAATAAAGGTAAAGGAAAACAAATCGACATTGAAGAATTGACAATTGATATCGAAGAAAATAACGGGAACGAATAGACTGAAGTAACAAATAAAAAGAAAAAGGCAAAAAACATGGACAATACGGCAATAGATTCTGAAGTAATAGAAGAAGATAAAGAATCAGTATTATCATATGAGATTGATAATAGTTTTCATCCTGACTGGAGATAAGATTTCAATACAAAAAAATTTAAAATTTGAACTCACGCTGAAAAAATTCCTGGAAAATCGATAGGCGAAAAAATTGAATTTGTAAAAAAAGCCATTAGAGCAAAAACTGAATTAACCCTAATCAGAGTAGAGGACAATAGAAAAGATAAAATGATCTCTGTATTGTTTGACAACAAAGAAAATATGCAAGCCGCACTAGAAATAAATGTAGGTACAGATGCGCAATTGCCCACCCACATGCATAGAGCACAATTGTATAAAAATAATACTTTGAATGAAAGAAAAATGGAAATTAAATTATAGGACATTCCTATTGGTGTGAAACATAATGAATTAAAAAGTGAATTAGAAAATATATATGGTGAAGTGGAGCAATTAATATTACGCCTAACAGGAATGTGGCAATGGGCAATCGCTGTCTTTAAAAAAGAAGAAGTAACTAAAGAACTTTTTAATCAATGAAGCATAATTATTGGTGAGGACTCACTCCGTGTTATACCTACTAATTGTAGTTATGATAATCTCATGACACGTGGTAAATTTGCTGCAAGGATGATCAATTTACCATCTGGTATCACAGCAAAAGAGATTATTCCTAATATCAAAACGATTGGTGCACTTACTTGCTATATCCCTAGGTCTCACAATTATAGATGTAGAAGTGAGGCAATTATTTCTTTTGTAAATGAAGAGGCACTAGAAGTGGCAATTGGTAAAGAGTGGAAGGCAGGTGAATTCAATATTAAAGTCACAAGCATGGCAGCAAAAACATGCTACAGAT